CCACATAGCTCTGCTTCTTGTTTAGCAAAGGGCTCAGTAAGAGATAATAACTTGCTTCTCTCTGTTTGAGGGACATTTGTGGTTATACTGGCACAGGCATTCCAGAGAAGTCCCCAGACCGGACTGGGCCTTGCATTTGACCAGGTTCTGTTGGGTGTTTGGGTGAAAACAGCCCAGTGCTTCTCTGAGCAGGCCATCAGCATGACGGCATCCACCTCTCTACTAACTCACTCTCACGGTTAGCTAGTCCAAGTCTCGCCACTCCTCATGCCAGCAAATTCAAATATCCCTGTGCCAAATGGTACATGTCTACCAAACCACATTCTCCTAAAGTTATGCCTGGCTGGACTGCAATAGCGGATGGAAAAGAAGGAAATGTGCCTTTAGACCAATGGAGTATATTAGGGCATCCCACCTGCAACCCTTACCTCCAGCTTGTTGCATTACCTGGACGGTCTTTACAATATCAGGTATAGCTGAAGAAATGTGGCAGACTGCACTGTTAAACCCTGCACATTTGTTGTCAGCCTCCACAAATAATCTCTCAGACAGGACAGTTAAAAAGAAAATCAAGGTCAGGTGGAATGGCTCATGTCTGTAATCTCTACACTTTGGGAGGCTGAGGCAGATGGATCATTTGAGGTCAGGAGTTCAAGACCAGCCTGGCCAACATGGTGAAACCCTATCTCTACTAAAAATACTAAAATTAGCCAGGCGTGGTGGTTTGTACCTGTAATCCCAACTACTTGGGAAGCTGAGGCAGGAAAACCACTTGGACCTGGGAGGCAGAGGTTGCAATGAGTGGAGATCATGCCACTGCACTCCAGCTTTGGTGAAAGAACAAGACTCTGTCTCAAAAAAAAAAAAAAAAAAATCAGTGGGAATCAATTCCTCCACTTCAGCCTTTTCTTTAAGAGTAGCAAGGTCTGGTGGCCCTCCTAAAGTTCTGCAGGGCTCAGTGTTGATTACAGAGGAAAGTCTAGACCATCCAGAACATTCCAAAGTAGCATTCATGAATTAACCACACAGGAAAGACTTTGTTGATATTCCTTGAAAAATTACTCCCAAGATCCAGTGTAATGAGCCTTTATGGCATCATATATGAACCATATAACTTCTGGGTCATTGCCATGGCATTTGTAAATTGTCATGGTGCCCTTGTGTCTTATGACAATGTATTATAATTAGCATATAATGAGCAATGAGGGCAACTAGAAATCACTTTTGTCACCATCTTGGTCCGAGCTGGTTTGGGCCAGTTTCTTTGTTACGTCCTGTTTTGATCACAGGGTCACAATCAAGGCTCAGAAAACAAGTCCTGCTGATATCGTACCTCACAACTATTTTGGGATTGGTCAGCAACTCGAATATTGCCTTCTGTTAAGCAATGTCTGTTAAACAGGAAAATGAATGAGAGACATAAATAGAGAGATCACAGGAAAATACAAATATCCACTAGCCATATCAAACATGTCAAACCATATCAAGTGCTCAACCTCACTCATAATTTAAAAATGCAAATTCAAAATACACCTGGATACTATTTTCATTTTCATCTGTCAGACTGGTGAAAATCCAAAGAGTGAATAAGAGGATATTCTTTCTGACGCTGCCATGAAAACAAGCACTCACTCCTCCATGACAAAATTCTTCAAAGACCAGATACAGCAACTAGGCAATACTCATATAAACTGCAAATATATTTAACTTTTGTCCTTTGGTCTCATTTCTGGGAAGTTGTGGTATAATGATATATGTAAGGAATGACATTAGGGACAATTGCAGTGTTGTGTATATGAAAGTTGACTTCATATATTGAGTTATTCTGGTCATACCCAACTAAGTCAAGGCTGAGGGCCAGAGGAAAACCACTCAGGCAGACAGCACCTGCTCCAAGAACCATCTACAAGCCCATGTGCTGAAATGCCTGCTGCAACTTTACAATCAGGTGTACCTCACAGCTGCTGGAACGACCTGCCGTGACTCAAAGACAAGGTCTACCTACTGTGTCACTCACCCATCAGAGCCTGCCAGCTCCCCAAACCTCTACCAGTGCCCACAAGTTTTCTTTCTAAACAATAGGTAACATTTCTTAAATAAAACTTTCAACCTTCTCTTTGTTCGTCAGACACACCAAACACATTTCTGGTCTGTGTATGCCCAGAATTACAATTCCGTGATTCCCGAATAACATGTTTAGAGATTCATCCTATAATGTGTTTGACTTTGACATGTGAGATGTAAAAACACCGTGAACAACACAAATGTTCATTCAAGGAGGCTATTTAAATTAGCTATGGTACATCAAGGCCATGGAATATGATGCAACTTGTATTAGTCCTTTCTCCCATTGCTATAAAGAAATACCTGAGGCTGGGCAATTTACAAAGAAAAGAGGTTTAACTGTCTCACAGTTCCACAGGCTGTGCAGGAAGCATGGTCCTGGCTTCTGAGGAGGCCTCAGGAAACTTACAATCATGACGGAAGGCAAAGGGGAAGCGGGCACCTCTTACGTGGCCTGAGCAGGAGGAAGAGAGGGAGTTGCCCACACACTTTTAAAAACACAGATCTCGTGAGAACTCTATCACAAGAACAGCACCAAAGGGATGGTGCTAAACCATTCATGAAGGACCACCCCCATGATCCAATCACCTCCCACCAGGCCTCACCCCCAACACTGGGGATTACAATTCAACATGAGATTTCAGTGGGGACACAGATCCAAACCATATCACAGCTGTAAAAAAAAAAAAAAAAAAAAATGGAAGAAGAAAGAAAAGAAAAGAAAGGAAAAGAGTGTGAAAGTCCTGTTCCTTCCTGTGGTAACAGAGGGCCTCTACACAGAGGACTGAGGGGAAAAAGCATGGTGGAGAACACCACCTGTGGATTGCCCTTTGGGGTCTACTCAGATCTGCCCAATTTCCCATAAAACTAGTATTTAGGGTTTCTTTTGAGTAAACTTAGAAATTGACCCACCCTAGCTTAAAACCTGGGAAAGTTACATTTGTCTTATCCGAGTTCCTTCTCACGAAACCAACCGTTGGGCCTTCCAGACAGCATCAAGGCACTGAAACTCAGCAGGTTCTTGAGGCCAGACCCCTCACCAGTCATGAAGCCCAGCTGCCTCCTCACTCTCCCTAATTTCTGTTTTCCCACACGGGGTGACATTTCTTCCCTGCTCTAGAAACTCCTAATTTTAGTGGGTTGAGGAGAGGGATTTGTGACTGAGCACCCGTCTCTGGGCTGTAGCACTTGAATGAGGCCTTCTTCTCTGGCACTGCTCTTGGTGATTGGCTTTCTGTGCAGGGCAGCAGACCTAGATGACAACCCTGATGTTTGGGTAGCACTGTTAGTGTGAGAGACATGGAAATCCTCCAGTTCTAGGTCTTCTTTTAGGAAAGAATTCAGACAAGAGACGCACAGCAAGAGGTAAAGGGTTAAGTAACCTTTTTATTTAAAGAGTCAGGAGCTCAGAGAGACAAGACAGAATCTGCCACTCAGGAGATAGAGCCAAAAGCTAGTGACTTACGAGGAATTCTTTTCTTTCTTTTTTCTTTTTTATTTTTTTGAGACGGAGTCTCCCTCTGTGGCCCAGGCTGAAGTGCAGTGGTGCAATCTCAGCTCACTGCAAGCTGTGTCTTCCGGGTTCACGCCATTCTCCTGCCTCAGCCTCCCGAGTAGCTGGGACTACAGGCGCCAGGAGGAATTCTTATTCGAGCTTTTGGTGAAGGAAAACAGTACAGCCTGAAAGAGGAACAGGGTGGGCTGCTCAAAAGAATGAGTCCGTCCCTACTCACGCTGGGTGACCCTCCTGATGACAGTTTTACAGGATTATTCTTGAAGGGCCCGGGTAGGGGCCGTACTAGTAAGCAAGTTTTGCGAAGTCCTCTGGGCACGCATGCGCCGTGACCTCACACATGCATGCACCGGCGTGTTTCCTTAGAATCCAAAATCTCTGCCCAGGGGTGTGTCTTTTTGGTATTGTAATGAGCTAAAAGCTATTCAGGGGCGAGTTATTAGGGGTGTGCCCGTGCTCTTCAGCGGAGAAAATCCCCAACCCGGCCACTGGCCACTTTCTGTGGAGTGTGGGGTCCCCAAGGAGACAGCCCTGGGGCTCAGGTGCTGCGTTTCCCG